AGCGGCTGGGAGAGTGCGCGGCGAAATGCGCCAAACAAAATTTAATAATAATACAGCAACAACAAATACAGCGCAAAAAATGTAGTATTTAGCCTTGAAAGTTCGTAAACACTACGAATTGCGAATGCGAGCGAAGATCTCTTATATATATGTACATACATATACATATATATTTATATTGTTTTTTTTGCACAAAAAGTCACATCAGAATTGAAAATAAAAATCAAATTCATTTCGAACTTGAACGAAATAAAACAACAGATCGAAGAATCCCAATCAAAGAGAATCCAACAAAGCTTACGAACACATACATACATACATATTTACTTATGTAAACAGTACATCAATACATGCACACATACACACATACTAGTTGGCTATGCCAACTAGATTCTGCTTAGTGCAGCTGCGTGTATTTTGTTTTTAGAGCCGAAAGTTTCGAGTTCGAATTCGAACAAATAACAAGGCGCAAATATACGAACGTAACGTATTGTACCGTAAATTGGAATGTGAGCCGAAATATAAGACCGCATTTTATGTTCTATATTCCAATATTCTATAAGTTAGCAGCTGCTGGGCGTCGGTCACGGTCACACGCTCCCCCTGCCTCCCACTGCACCCCTCGCCCAAAGAGTGTGGCGCTGTTATTTTCTTCTTCTTCTTTTTTTTTATTATTATGCATTGTACATTTTGTGTATAATTTTTTGGCTTGCATTAGAAACTTGAGCTTTTCCCACCGGCTGGCCCACCGGGGCTCCACTTCAAATGAATTTGCGGATGCTTTCGCTGCAATTACAATTGTAACGGGATAGCTGCCGGCAGGCAAAGGGAGGCGGCGCTAGTTGCGCCGGGTGGCAGGTGGATGTTCTTGCTCGTCATGGTAATTAGAGGCGATCCCCACACACACACACACACACACACACAAACACACGTGAGTCGAGTGCAAGTTGAAAGTGTCAAAGTTGTCGAGTGGTTAATCTCTCGAGCTGTTAGTTTTTTATATGTAGCTCTTTTCTCCATGTACATACATACATACATATGTATGTATGTATCTCTGCCTATCCATTTTGTCGCTATTAGTCAGCGTTCGCGTTGGCGTCGCAGTTGCTGCGTCGCCGACCGCAACGGAGTTTTGTTCTATGCACAAAAGTCACAGCTACACACACACACACACACATGTGCAGGCACAGGCAAGCACTATAAACTAAGCGCGAGCGTGAGTGAGAGAGAGAGACAGCGCAAGAGAGGGTGAGAGATCGAGAGTCACAAATTTAATACTGGACTGTGCCAAAACTTTATTTGGCACATGCATGCATGTGTGTGTGTGTGTGAGTGCGTCGCTGCTGCAGCGGCACTGTGTGTGTGTGTGCGTATGTGTGTGTCTGCGCTCGGTCTGGTCCGTCATGGTGGTGGGAATTAAAAGCACAACACATTCTAATACTCAAGTTCAGGTTCAATTCACTGTGCTCCCCCCACATACATGCATACGCACAGATCACTGAGCACACATGCACACACGAACACAGACACACACACACATATGGACATATGGATCGTTAATTCCTGTCCCTGTCTGCCTACCTGGCGATCCTAGCGCGTTTGACTGGCGGGGATCGGGGCACTCAGACTGGCCAGAACAGCAACAACGGCACAGAGCGTGCGCACGCTTGTTGTTGTCCCGCTCTCTCCCGCTCTCACACGAACACACACACGCACACATGCGCGACTGCTGCTGCTGCTGCTTCTGCTGCTGCTGCTGCTGCTGCTGCTGTTGCCAAAATTTCGGTGAATAGTTTAGTGTTTTGTGTGTGCTTTCGACTGCCGTTGCCCCTGTCCCTGCCTAATGCGCTTTTTTGTGCGCTATCGCTGCCGCTGCTGCTGCTGTTGCTGCTGCTGCTGCGCGCAGTCGGCGTTGCCGTCGCCGTCGCTGGCGTGTTCTGCCTGCCAGAGGCACTCGAGCACTCTCTTCTTCTTTAGCATGAATTCAGTTGAGTTTCTACGCTTGCAATCATCAAACGCAACAAAAAAGCCCAACACGCTGGTTGGCCGCCGACTGCTGCTTCCAGCGTTCCCCGTTTTACCGTTTAACCGTTTTACCGTTTTACCGTTTTACCGTTCAGTGTAGTCAGTGTGTGCTTCCAGCCCAAAGACAATTCGAGGCGATCCTGCGACGAAACGCGATGCAGCTTTAAATTAAACACAATTTTAAACATATCTCAAATACATACATACATACATACATACCTACATACATAGTTACATATGTAGCTAAATAGTTATAAGTGCGTGTTGTTCGGTCGGTCGTTCGGTTCGGTTCAGTTCGGTTCGGTAATTGATAAGTGTGTGTGTGTGTGTGTGTGTGTAAACGTTATACTTTTTTTTTACTATTATTTTTATTTGATTTGTTTTTTGCCGAGTGCCAAATGTTATTTGCATTTAACGTCTAAGCCAAGATCTCAAGTCAAAGCGAATAGCATTATTCTTCTTAAATTACCATATTACGTATACGCAAACAAATTTCTACCTCAACAACAACAACAACAACAACAACAACAAAACGAAGCCAAAGCAAAAAGCAGAATAATAACACTTAAGCAACAACAATAAAGAAAAAACAAATATGTTTGCTAAACAAAATTCGCCAACAAATTGCACACATAATAATCTATTTCTGTTGGCATTCGCAACCATAATTAACTATTAGAGTTTTGCTCAGATCCCAATCGTACATTATACATATATGTACATAGTATATACATACATACGTACATAGTGGGATGCTTTTATAGAGCAGGTATGTATGTACTACATGTGCAATTTGCATTTCACATTTCCATCGCGTAGAGCATACAACATTCGTCATCAAATTAAGCACACTCTCTCTCACACACACACACACACGCAAACACCATTCCATGTATGTGTGCATTGCGGCTGACTGCGTGCTATTATTAGAATAGCTAAAAAGTGCAACGCACACAAGCGCACGCCTCGACTTATCTTGATAGTTTTCACTTTCAATGTCACAAACACACAAACAGACACACACATATAGGCAAGCTTTTACGTGCGCGTCTGAGCGTGTGTGTGTAGGAAAGAATACGCCCATACATAGAGAGGAGACTTCAAAGCAGATGAAATCTACAAATATCCTCGCTAACAGAATAGAAATTAAAGCAAAGGCAGTAACTGCTTTTACGTATGTATGTGTGTGTGTGTGTGTGCTTGTGCGAAAGAGAGCGAACATGCATAGACAGAAGTAGGGAACCGAAACTAAAGCTACAAATAGAACCAGTCCAGGAACCAGAACCAATGCGAATAGCAAAAAGTGCGCTTGTACTTAAGTAGGGGGCTAGGAAAGCAGACGAGATCTAGAAGTATCCTCACTTACAAAATATAAACTAAAGCAAGGGTAGAATAGAACCAGTTCAGGAACCAGAACCAATGCGAATGCAGACGCGATCTAGAAGTATTCTGTCGAACAGAATATTAACTAAAACAAGAAATAGAACAAGTTCAGGAACCAGAACCAGTTTCTAGAAGTATCCTCGTTAACAGAATATAAACTTAAGCAAAAGCAGAAACAGAACCAGTTCAAGAACCAAAACCAGAGCCAAACAGAACCAGTTCAAGAACCAGAACCAGATCCAATGCGAATGTAGACGAGATCAAGAAGTATCCTCGCTATTGGAATAGCATCTAAAGCTAGAGCAGAAACAGAACCAGTTCAGGAACCAGAACCAGTTCAAGAACCAGAACCAGAACCAATGCGACTGTAGACGAGATCAAGAAGCATCCTCGCTATTCGAATAGCATCTAAAGCTAGAGCAGAAACAGAACCAGTTCAGGAACCAGAACCAGTTCAAGAACCAGAACCAGAACCAATGCAAATGTAGACGAGATCAAGAAGTATCCTCCCCCTAAAGCAAGAGCAGAAACAGAACCAGTTCAGGAACCAGAACCAGTTCAAGAACCAGAACCAGTTCAAGAACCAGAACCAATGCGAATGCGAAAAGCACATCGAAAATTGTGCACTACAAGTGTTTTATTTATTTGCGATGCGTTTGCTGTTTTCACTCTGGTTCCAGTTTTGGTTCATTTGCTTAGCGCTGACTTTTTTGTTCGAAGCACGCGTTTTGAGTGAATACGAATACAAAAAACATATAAAATTCAATTGTACTCGTTTAAATCGTAGTATTTGTTGTCTGTTTGCTTCTTTTTTGTCTAGAGACTAGTTTTTTTCTTCTTCTTCATTTCAGTTTTGTTTCTATGTCACACAAATTGTCGCCGTGGTTGAATTGATTTTAAAGTGCATTTGTTAACAATTTTCGAACATTTTGCATTTTGCATTTTGCATTGTTGCGTTTGTTGCACCAAAAACAATCAACATTTTTAGCGGCCGCAGCAGAAAAATTCCCCCGCCCGTGAACGAAGACACACACACACATATGTGTGTGTGTGTATGTATGTGCTTTAAAGAAAGATTGAAAAGAACTCGCAAGAATACAATTTGATTAAACAAGTTAAACGAGTTGTATTTAATTTACATAGAATAATATAATTAGCTTATACTTGTTCAAATGATTTGTTTACATTGCGATTCAACAATTTAATCAAAATTTCAAGATTTCGATTAAATTCGAACCCTGACAATAGACGACCACGAGCTTTAAATGAATGCATATCCCATGCATAAGAGCTGGTCTTGACTGACTGACTGACTGATTGATTGATTGATTGATTGATTGATTGATTGACTGATTGACTGATCTTTCTCTTCGATCTGGTAAAGCAGACAGTTGCGTGACGTCATCAGGCTGCGTGTTCTAGGTGTCTGAGCGTCGGACCAGCTGGCGAGAAGTCGCCGGTTCGAATTTAGCAATTAAAAATGTATATATTTGTTTTTTTGATATGTATTTACCCATAATTTATGTTAAAGTTTAATGAATTGACAATTGAATTAATTAGTTGCAACTTTTTTTCGCCTCGTCCAATTGCAGTTAATTAAATATTAGTCAATAGTCGACCGATCATCACACAGGACACACAGGAGCAACATTTACGCAAGCAGCAAGGACACGGGTGTGCGTTCGTGTGCGTGTGTGTGTGTGTGTTCGTGCGTGCGTGCGTGCGTGCGTAGGCGCAACAAACACGACGAGCAGGCCGAACTATTTATTCCCTCGGTGCAATAGAAAGCCGCCAAAATACGCAAAAAGGTGACTACAAAGAAAGCCAGCGTTGTTTTCACAGTTGAGGACGACAACAACAACAACAACAACAACAATTGTAACAACAGCAGCAACTACAACTACAACAACGCTAGGCAGCTAAGAACAGCAACAACAACAACAACAAGTCCAACTCCAACTCCAACTGCAACTCCAACTGCAACTGCAACTCGAACAGCAACAATCGAGCTGAATAACTTCTACACCGAACAAGAACAAAGCAACATGGACGAGACACAACATTTCTGTCTGCGATGGAACAACTACCAGAGCAGCATCACATCGGCGTTCGAGAACCTTCGCGATGATGAGGACTTTGTCGATGTGACGCTCGCCTGCGAGGGTCGCAGCATAAAGGCGCATCGCGTGGTCCTCTCCGCATGCAGCCCCTACTTTCGCGATCTGTTGAAGGTAAGTCACAAACTTTCCAAACTCCCCCATGGTTTTCGGCTCACAAACCAAGACGAGTACTCGAAACTCGTTTCGAACATGTTAAATGGCGCGAAATCTGTCGAATCTGAATCAATTTCTTGGCTTAGCAGCTATGTGAGATACTCTTTAATTTTTAGGTATCTAATCCTTATAAAGGAAGCACCTCTGATTCTTCATCAGCCTACTCAATATTCCAATTCCTAGTTAATCCCGAAAACTGTAAGAGCTAAAGACTCGAAATGCAATATATATATTTTTCCCAATTTAATATGCAGAATGATATCGATATATTTATCGATATATTTTCTGCTTTCCATAAAATCGATTAGAGACTTGGTTTGTAAAGCATAACTCGATATTTATAGGAGCCAGATATACCTATACCTCGACCCTATAGCATAAAAGGCTAACTTATCTCATATTCTTGATCAGCCGAGTCATAATTCCAATTTCTCGTTGATCTCGTCAACTATTAGAGCTAGATACTCGATACACAGTATATATTCTTCCATTTAACGCGCAGTCTGATATCGATATCGATTTATCGATATCTATTTTCATTGCCATAAAATCGATAAAAATCGATTAGAGACTTGGTTTTTTAGGCATAACTCGAACATTTTTGGAGCTAGATATCGATATATATTTTCATTGCCATAAAATCGATGAAAATCGATTCGAGACTTGGTTTGAAATTTATAGGAGCTAAACTAGGTATATTCCTAGATCCGATAGCATAATATTTGATCTGGCTTTGGAATTATGAATTGGCGAAAAGCGAAAAGAATTTTTATCAATTTGCAATTGAGTTTCAAGTTTCGCAATTCGAAACACAATTTCTTTTCCTTTTGGCGATGACCTACATAAGCGCAGCAGTATAAATGAGATAAAGGGCGCAAAAAAAAACGAAGAGTGGGAGGGGGCAGGGTAAACACATGTGCATCAGCTGTCAGTCGAGTCGCTGCGTTGTGCATCCTGTTCGCCAGCTGCAAATAAATATACAGAAGATATACAGCTATATATATGGAGAGATATGTGGAGAGATGGAGAGATGGAGAGACTCGGGTCTAGACAAAGTCGCTGTGCGGCACAGTTTTTTAATGGCAGCCTAATTAATAAAACGATGATTGCACACACACACACACACACACACACACATTTACCTGTGTATATGTGTGTACAGTTGAGTTGTTTGCAATGTCTCGTGCTCTCGTGGTGTAAACTGGCAAAAGGCAAAGTTCTTAGCTAAAATATTACGGCAAGAATGGGCCCATGCCGTCTGCTCGTCTGCGTTTGCCTTCTGTTTGCATTTTAATTTATTTAGTTGCGCACGACAACAACAACAACAACAACAACAAGAACAACAAGAAGAACAACTATGAGAAGTACATTTAACAGCAACAAAAGGCAAAACAGACGACAACACGCCAAAAAGTCGACAACTATAAGAAAGTTCTGCAATCTGCGGGAACAGTCGCAGGTCGCAGTCAGTTACAGTCAGGGCCATCGTTCCGTTTTGAAACTCCTGAAAGGGGCAATAAGTTCTGCACTAAATTATGACTCCAAACTGGCTCAAATCAGGCAATTATTTGGCCGAAAACATTTGATTCATACTGGCCAAACTGGACCTCAGCGCGTCGCGCAGCCCAAAAACATATTCACATTTCTATGCACAGGCCAAAACAGTCTCTCTCTCTCTCTCGCTCTCTCGCTCTCTCTCTCGCTCTCTCTCTTTACAAGAGAAGCTAATTTGCATTCTGCCTCCAAGCCCAACAATTATGAGTGTTCCGACTAGCAGATACCCTGAACTCAGCGCCAAGCACTAAACCTTTATACATGCAAATGCGTTCCTGATTATCTTTTATTTATTATCTTCCCATATTTGCCCACTTTATTAGGAATCTGGTAGGGTATCTAAAAAGTGTTATATATTTTTTATCTGTACAAGAACCTAAATACCAAATTTGGCGGACCTAGCTATTATAATTTTCGAGCTATGTTCAAAAAACCATGTCTCAAAGTCGATATTTATCGATAAAATGTAAATGCGAGCAGATATCGAACAGGCGTAAACTGAAGCCTGATTCCACTATGCTAAAAATATGTTACATTTACAAACTTCACATTCTGCGATTCCATTGGCAATCGGTTTGATATTAAAAGTCAAATAATACATACATGACAGATATGGGTTTTTTATGGGCAACATATTTCACATTCGCAAAAAATGTTAAATGTATATAATGTTGTCAGTGGAATTTGGCTCTTACACAAAAATACAACATATTTTAGATTAGCAAAATATGTTACATTCGCAAAAAATTTAAGAAATGTTGCCAGTGGAATCAGGCACATAGCACATTCGCCAAAAATGTTAAATGTAAATAATGTTGTCAGTGGAATTGGGCTCTTACACAAAAATGCAACATAGCCAATATACTTAACATATTTCAGATTAGCTAAAAATGTTACATTCGCAACAAATGTAAGAAATGTTGCCAGTGGAATTGAACACATAGCACATTCGCCAAAAATGTTAAATGTAAATAATGTTGTCAGTGGAATTGGGCTCCTACACAAATATGCAACATAGCCAATATACTTAACATATTTCAGATTAGCTAAAAATGTTACATTCGCAAAAAATATAAGAAATGTTGGCAGTGGAATTGAGCACATAGCCAATATGCCCGTTTTTAGGCCCTTTGCAATGGGTTCGAGGAACATTAACTACAACTCTGAAGCTGGGAATGGGGCCGACAATGCAGCCAAATGCCGTCTTGTTGCCCGTTTGTTTGCGTTTGCGTTTGTTATTATTTTATTTTTATTATGACATTAAAATTATGGAAGTCGGTGCCTCGTTTACCTGCCCGCCCAAAACTTGTGACTGCATTGTATAAAATATTTGCACGCAATTGCGGTTTTTAGGAGGCCTCGAGACTTGGCCAACTCCCCCCCCCCCCCCCCCCCCCCCCGACTCTCCCCTCGCAAAACTTTGCCATTTGCATTGTTTGAGCTGTCATTGGCGTCACGACGAAGCCCGGGTCGGGATTGGGATTGGGATTGGGATCGGGCCTGGCCTGGGCTGGGTTTAGCGGATTGATTAGTGGAATGTCGGCCCCGTTGCCGTTGCCTGTTCTTTGCCATTGCAGCAGAAATTATATAAATTACAAACTTCTCAGTTCTTAGTTTGGCCGCAAAATATTCGCTCTTGACGTGATTTGTTAACATGATAGAAAACTTGCTTTTGTACATTTTAGACGCAAAAGAAAAGAAACAACAGCAACAATTTAATGCAGCAACTTTGAAGGCAAAATTGTTGCGGGCGAGTCCCAACGACTGCCCAATGCTCGCTCAGTTCCTTATTAGATTAGATATTATTATGCTACCCATCAAAATCTATCTTAATCTATCTGTCTCGCGCTTTAATTGTGGAAGATTTCTGGAGAATGTCAACAGAGTTCTAATTGGTCGAGTCTGACACAAATTTGTCGTGTAGATAGGAATATATATATTCCAAATTTCAGTCTCTATCATATTTGAACTATCTCGCTTTTTCATCGTGGAAGATCTTGGTCTAATTGGGCTCGTCCCACAACTTTATATCTATATATTCTATATATATTCCAAATTTCAAGCTATAGAGAACTATACATAGACGAGCAGACGGACAGTCGGGCCAATATGCTCTTTTAACATTTGCGAAAGAGTATAGAAAGAGAGGGGGGAGAGGGGGAGTCGCATTTAGTGTCATTTGCGTCGCAAATGGTTGCAATCCTTATTTCTGACAATACGTCAACATTGTGTACCCGTGCATATTGTTGTGTATACGACACGGGGTCCACCTACAGATTTGCCTCATTTTACAAGCTATCCGGCCAATAAATTGCAAAGTTTCACACGGGGCGGGGCGGGGCGGGGCGGGGCGGGGCGGGGCGGGGTCTATGATAATGGCGAGCCAACACAATTGCAGACAACAGCAAGTCGGCATTTAATTTGGTAAAAAGGCCAACTAAATGCAGAGCGCAAAAAAAAGAAAAGACTGCAACTGCAACTGCAACAATGCCAAGGGAAAGAAAAAAATGCTAAAATAATTATATACCAAGAAATTAGTACAGAGTATACGAAAAACTTTGTTGGCAGTTGGCAACAATATACGCGAGAGAGGCAGGCAGGCAGGCAGGCAGCGAAGTTTGTAAATTCAATTTGAAATACATGCAACAACAGCAACAACAGACATGCAAACTAGAGTCCAGTCCGGGTCCGGGTCCGGGTCCGGGTCCGGGCGACACTTCTCTGTGCCTGATCTTCTCGGCGCGTCGCAATTGTGCGCGCCTTGTGCCTATGCATAAATATTTAATTAACTGCAGCGCATTATTTTAATTAGGTGTAAAACTGCAAAGCCCCGCCTCCCATTCCCTCCCAAACAGACAACAAACAGACAACAAGATATGAAGTGGCAACAACTGCCAACTGCCAGAGCAGTCCGAGCCAGCCTAATGGGCGCTTCTAAAAGCATTTTGGCTTCTGTTCAAACTGAAACTGTGACTGCGACTGCGACTGAGAGCTGTGACTGCGAGCTGCGACTGCGACTGTCCGCGACAAGCAGCTGCGGATGTGTCGGGACACGCCCACTTAGCAAGAAATTGCCTTTCACAACTTGCATTTGGTGTAACAGGGTTGCCAGCTCAGCTAAATTTTACTTTTTTTTTAAGCTAAACTCGAATACTTTCAGAGATCGTCTTGAAATTCGTAGCTGCCTTTCACAATTTGCATTTGGTGTAACAGTGGCAACCCTGGCTCAGCTAAATTTTACTTTTTTTTTAAGCTAAACTCGAATACTTTCAGAAATCGTCTTGAAATTTGTAGCTGCCTTTCACAATTTGCATTTGGTGTAACAGGGTTGCCAGCTCAGCTAAATTTTACTCTTTTTTTTTAAGCTAAACTCGAATACTTTCAGAGATCGTCATGATATTTGTAGCTGCCTGCAATCTATGCTATTTTGAAAATGATTTCGATTTCATTTTCTCATTTTCTCGAAATGACAAGTACTGAGAACAACCCTGCTTATCGTCTACAGATAGCGAAAATTTCGGTTCTTTTATCATAATTCAACTTAGTCAACTGTTTTGAAAGGCAATTGCGCAAAGCCAGCGACAGTTGTGCAACACTGGCTCGCACAAAGCCACCTTTTGACAGCGACAGTTGTGCAACACTGGCGCGCGCACAGCAGAAATCCAAGCAGACCCTTTTACACTGTGCTTCACGCGCTGCCTAGAGCCTCTTTCATTGAGCCAAATTTCGATCGTCGTTGCAGTTCCTGTTTCTCATATCAAGCATAGTAACTTTTTGTAACGACAGTTGGCAACACTGGTGCGCACAGTTGTGCAACACTGGCGCGCGCACAGCAGATATCCAAGCAGACCCTTTTACACTGTCCTCCGCCTCAGCCTCTTTCTCTAGCCGAATCTCTAGGTCGATGTTGCAGTTCCTGTTTCTCATATTGTTTTCCCCACTTCTCTTTTTTGCACTTTGCTTCTTCTTCTTCTTTTTGTTTTTGTTTTTTTTTTCGGCGAAAATCATGTAGGTGCTCTTTGGATGTGACGATCACTTGATCGCTGCCGTCTCTTGACCTCAATTTCACAATCTGCCGCTGCGCCTGTTCCCGTCCCCGTCCCCGTCCCTGCCTCTCTACCCGTCTCTGCACACACACACGATCGTGTTGGCAAATATAAGCACGGAATATGTGTACGATTATATATGCATACATGCACATACATGCACATGCGTGTACATATGCGTTTACATCAGCTCATCTGCGAATGTGAAAATAAATTGCAAGCTCGAGTAAATAAGGCGCAGAGACAAGTCAAGACAAGACCAACCAACTGTCTGTCCGTCTGTCTGTCCGTCTGTCTGTCTGTCTGTCTGTCTTCTTTTTCTCTGTCTGTCTCTCGATGCACATCCACAGAAATGTACATGAGATCGGGCATGGAGCTGGGGCTGGGGCTGGGCCTGGGCCTGAATCTGTATCTGTATCTGTAGACGCAAGGCGCGCAATCGAAATAATAACAAAGACGCCGTAACTTGACCTAATTTTGATGCACTTTGTTGGCTTGCCACTTGATGATAAAGTGAAATTTACACACACATAAAACTGGAGACTGCAGACTCGAACTCGAAGAATAAAGACGACGTGGTTGGCATTCATTCGCCCTGCAACTGGTTTTGGGGCAGGGGGAAATGGGGTCAGCTGCAAGCGATGTGTGTGTGCAAAAGGACTGAAAATATTGAATCAAGTAAATCTAGTCTTGCAATTGGGCTGAAAAACATAACAGTAACAACTTGATTCAAGTTGTTTCCAGCTTAACTTATACTTGAATCTGAATACTTGATACTGCAAATATTGAATCAAGTAAATCTAGTCTTGCAATTGACTTGCAATCTGACTTTGGCATGAAATTCTTATTTCAAGCATGACTTTTTTCAAGTACGTATAAACTTGACTCAAGGATTGCCTTTGACTTTTTTGAGCTCTCTTAGAGCTTGAATTAAGTCGAAATGGTTATTAAATAACAGGTCTGCAAATATTGAATCAATTATATATAGTCTTGCAATTGGGCTGAAAAACTATAAGAGTAACAACTTGATTCAAGTTTTTATGAACTCAACTCTTGCTTGAATCAAATTAAAGCAGTCTCTATAATACTTGACCTTGGCATGAAATTCTTATTTCAAGCATGCATCTTTTTATGGTATGAATAAAGTTGCGTCAAGGACTGCCTTTGACTTTTTTGAGCTATCTTAGAGCTTGAATTATATATGTATAGAATAACAAGTCTGCAAATATTGAATCAAGTAAATCTAGTCTTGCAATTAGGTTGAATTTGACTTTGGCATGAAATTCTTATATCAAGCATGACTTTTTTCAAGTACGAATAAACTTGCCTTTGACTTTTTTTGAGCTCTCTTAGAGCTTGAACTAAGTTGAAATGTTTATTAAAGTATGTGTATGTATGGAGGCAGACGAGTCTTAAGTGATTCGCTTGTATGGAGTGGAGCAGCGTTGACATTTCCGAGATAGTTGAAGGTTATTATTGAGGAGGGAAACTTGGTTAAGACTAAGACTAATGGCTGGCATTGTCTATTTTTTAGAGCACACCCTGCAAACATCCGGTCATATTGCTGCAAGATGTCAATTTCATGGATCTGCACTCGCTGGTCGAATTCATATACCACGGCGAGGTGAATGTGCATCAGAAGTCGCTGCAGTCGTTCCTCAAGACCGCCGAGGTGCTGCGCGTCTCCGGCCTGACACAGCAACAGGCCGAGGACACGCACAGCGTAAGTAGACGCACCTTTAATTCCAGCAGCAGCAGCTATTTCAACGTCTTACCTTTACAGCACCTGGCACAGATACAGAATTTGGCCAATGCCGGAATACGCCAGCCACTGAACACACATCCACATGCACATCATGACGACGGCGGCGCTGCCACATTGTTCAGCAGCCGCCAGGGAGTTGGGTCGTCGTCGTCGCCGCCGCCGCCGCCGCTGCCGCCGCACATTAACAACAATCTGCTGAAGCGCATGGCCATGATGCATCACAGCAGCAGCAGCGCCGCCGCCGCCGCCGCCTCAGTCGAAGAGACGTCGCATGCCTTGAAGCGTTTGCGCAGCGCCGACAACGGGCTGCCGCCCGCCGCCAGCAGCAGCAGCAGCAACAACAACAACAGCCCCGATTTGCAGATGCACGCGCGCAGCGCCTCGCCGCAGCTAACGCCGGCCGACTTCAGCACGATCAAGCATCACCACAACAACAACAACACGCCGCCGCTCAAGGAGGAGAAACGTGAGTAATCCCACTCCAAAATCCAGCTGGGATTGATTTTGATTTGCATCTCCATCTCCAGGTAATCGACCCAGTGGCAACTCGGGCAACTCTGGCAACACCAATGGCAATGGCATCTCCATTAGCGATAAGCTGGGCAGTTTGACACCGTCGCCTTTGGCCCGTGGTGTCGAGGACGTCAAGTCGGAGCCCATGGAGCTGGTCTGCTCCAGCAGCAACAACAACAACAACGCCAACAATCCGAATGTCAATGAGGAGCACAGCAACGACTCGACCGGCGAGCATGACGCCAATCGATCCAGCAGCGCTGACGGCGGCAAAGGCTCCCTGAGGTAACACAACAGCACAACTTGCACAGAGTCCGAGCAATATTTGATAACCCTAACCTATTCCCTTTGCAGCTCCGGCAATGATGATGAGATCAACGAGAATCTCGCCTCCCATCATGCCGCACAGCCGTTCATCATGTCGCCAGCTGACAGCAAACTGTTTCCGGGCGCCGCATTCAACTTTCCGATGTCCAATCTCGATCATTCAGCTTTGATTGGTGCGTATTATCCAACTATATATCCATATATGTATATACTCTCCAGTTTAGCAAATCGCCATCAATTGAAAATCGACGAAATAATATTCAAAAAACATGAATTCAAGTTAAACCAAGATGCGATGCTAAAGTATAGCAAAAGTCAGGCAGATTCTTAAAAGAAAAAAAAAAATAAAAATAAAATAAAAATTGAAAAATTCTTTGCAATATTCAGAAATAATTTCCAAAAAATAATTCACAGTTAAAGCTAGATGTATATTCAAATTCAGGGATATTCTTGAAAAACCCAAACATATATTGAAAATCGTTTGAAATATTCAAAAATTTAAAAAAAAATTAGTTAAAGTTAAAGTAAAGCAAAAGTTGGGGATATTTCTGAAATAACCAAACATAAATGCGAAATATTCCGAAATAATTTCCAAAAAATAGTTAAAGTTAGCCAAAAAATTATTAATATAAAAAAACTAAAAACAAGAAATTGTTGACATTTTTCCGAAAATGTTTTCATGAAAAGGCGATTTTCTAAATGTAGGCATACATTTCTATTGACACACACACACACACACACACACACAGACACAGACACACACCTATATATGCACATTGATTTCTATATCCATAAAAAATCTTCTCTTGATCCTTTCGATCATATATATCCAGGTCTCAACACACAGCTACAACAATCTGGTGAACTTGCCGTCTCTCCACAAGGTGAGTCCGAACATTTCTCTCTATTTACTCTATTGTTTCGCTCTATTTGCGCTCAAAAGCTCATTATTACATTTTTTACATCAAATGCAAATACCAAGAAATATCTATATCTATATATATATATATATATATTTATATGTATATATATATATGTATATATTTATCAAAAATATCAACAAAACAAAAAGAAAACCCAAATAAATTAATATCAATGAAAAAAAAAAAAGGAATTAATAGAAATCCAAATATTTTAACGTTGAAGAAATGTGTCTGTATCATTTGTTTTACTTGAAAAAAACATACTTACATACGTTACGTGCCATGCATATAAATCGGGCTATATATATGTGTGTTAACTACAATTTGATTTAACTTTTGATTTATTTACCTACACACAAGAATATTTGATAATTTCATTCGATTCAGTCATTTAATTTTTGATTTTATTTCAAAACATACTAACGTCCCCATCAAAGGTGGCTAGTACAGGGTATCTAATGCAATATATACCCTATATAAATATATATGTAGAGTCTGCCCACCTTTGTCAGGGACATTTTAGAATTGCAAACACGTAAACTTAATGCTGAAATAAAATAGTTACAAAACAGTTTTTATTTTCAATAATTTTTTTTTTTTTTTTTTATCTAATCGTTTTTTTTGTTCTGTTTGCATCTTCAAGTCCAATAAGAAAAGTGTATAAATTTCTTTCTTGTTCGATTGTTTCGATGGTAAATGTTTTCATTTATTTCCGCCAAACGTCAAATTTAAACAATTTGAAAAACGGAAATGCTTTGAGTTTAGGCCATACAAATCAGTTAGCCGTAATAATCATATGTATAACAAACCGCCAAGCTGATGACGCTAATGATGCTCACGATGATGATGATGATGATTATCACATAATGATAATGCGGAGCAATGTGCTAGCAATGCGAAATCGAAATTTCATAATCCAGCCATATTCATGTAAGCATCACACTGAACCCAACATTCCGATACGTGAGTCCTTTGCAAGCAATCCTTGCCACAGACTCCTTTACTGTGCGTGTGTGTGTGTGTGTGTGTGTGTGTGCGTGTGTGTGAATACATTAAACTAATTAACTGAACGAACGCACTTTGACGGGGAGAAGGAATGTTTAGCAAAATTGACTGTTTTTGAATATGTGGCGCACATTTTAATTGCCGCTGTTATTCTGAGGTTAGGCCACAACAATTTGCCACGCCCCCTTCCAGCCCTTCCAGCCCTCCCTCGCACACACACAGGATGTGCGTGCCTCAGAACATGCTTCAACCTAAAACCAGTTCGGAAAAGCTTTGCGGCTTTGCGGCTTTGTGGCCTGCCCCAACATGAACAGGAACAGATACACTGAAAACAACGATTTTCATGCATTTCAGAAAATTGCCAGAAAATACTAAATACTAAAGAAAGAATAAAATAACTGGAATAACTTGTTATTGTTTTTTAGTAGCTAAATAATATATTTACAAAAAAATTGTTTTGAGAAAATTGACATAAAATACTTTTTCCCTAAAGAAAAAACGGATAGAAAAAAAAATAAAATAACTTGTGATAGTTTTTAATATAATCAAAAGAAAATTGTTGAGGAACTTTTTAGCTAATTACAACAAATTGAGAAATCAATTTTCATTTTATGGCGATTTTCCAGAACTAAGAATGAACATTTTTTTGGAGTGTATGAACAGACATAGACATAGAAGCATCTATTTGAGATTTCTACGGGAGCTCAGCTCGTGTTGATAATTTATGAATTGGACTGAAACTGGGATGTGCCTGTGTCTAATGAGCAAAACTCCAATTGGGGCAACGTATTTTCCAATTAGCAAAAAAAAACAATTGGGGCAACGTATTTTGATTGTTTGGTTCAGTGTTTTGTGCGTATTTTTTTTTTGTGTGTTAGATTTCAAGTTCATTCGGCTTACTTCATGTTTCACACATGTTAAATCAGATTCAACAAAATATACTCTAAATATGTCATAAAGCCACATTCGATCGCTCTCTCTATATCTTTCCTTCTCTCTCTCTCTCTCTCTCTCTCTCACACACCGCTATACGAATGCCGAACATTTAAAGCTAGTCAATTCGTATTAGGAATTCGGTAAACAAACCAATTCGAATTCGAAACCGAGCTCAAATTAGAATCAATATTGAAGCTAGCTTTGAACAGAATGATGATCTTAAATATATATTTTCCGTAATTTTTTTGTTTCGTTCGTTCGTTCATTTTCTGAGTCCATTTTAATCGTTTAATCGTTTAACGTTTTAGTTTCGTTGATTTGTGTGCTAATTTTGTATTCGTAATAATAATAAAAAAAAAAACCATCAGCAATACATTCTATACATACACACACACACACACACACACACACACACACACATATATCCACATGCATACATATCAAACACAATTATCAAATGCGTTCAATTACCTTATTACGCTTATATCTATTAATTGTATACTTATATGCCAAATGAAATGATTATGGTTTTTGTTTTTTTTTATGTTTCAATTCATGTTCCCGTTTCCGTTTCGTTTCCGTTTCCGTTTTCGTTTCTGTGTTAAATCAGTTTGCTAAAATGGCCCGAATTTTATTTAGGCTCAAATGTGATAACTTTCTCGAATATTTTCAGTGTTGCCAGCCAGTTATTTTCTAGCCACATTTGGCTATTGTTAGAACTTGTCAGCCGGAAACAGTTGGCATTTTAAACTGATTTAGCTATTTTTTTTTTTTTTGGCAAGTATTTCGGCTTTTTTCTTAAAGCTATTCTTAACACTGGATTTAACTACTGTTGACAACACTGTCATCAAGCAGTGTTGTCTATTCAGGCTTTTATCGGCGGGCAGTTGGCAACACTGTTGCCCAGCCTCCTAGGGAAAGAGAGAGCGAGCGAGAGAGAAAGAGGAAGGGGAAGTCAAGAAGCGTTTAAATATTATTTTTAAATAGTTGCTTTGTTGCTTTTATTTATTTTAGTTGAGTTCAGTTGAGTTCAGTTGAGTTCTTTTGATTGATCCATGCCATAGTACATACATAACAGCCACAACAACCCTTATTTGATGTAACTCTTCTGTTTCGGTAAAATGCAACGCATTATAATCGATCGATCGAATATATACATACTTAAATATATTATGTATTGAAATTTTTTAATTTACTTTTGTACGTCGTCGTGCTTGTGTCTAAAACTAAGTATACCAATTCTCCAAGCCATATTCCCCCTTGCCCCTTGCCACTTTCCCCACAACATCCCAACTCTGACCCCAATAAACAGCAAAAGCAAAAGAAAAGCTTCAATTATATGTATTTGCATTGAAAAAACTAAAAAACTTTTAAAATATGAAAAACCAAAACAATTATAAAACATCAATTGCACCGTTATTTTTAATGTGTCTTTCGTTTAAAATTGTTTTTTAATTACTTGAAATTATTTTCATTTCCAATTCGATTTGATTCAAATTAAAACTAATGAGCAAAATTTAATTTCGAATATGAAACAAAAGCTAAACGCATAACATTTTTATTTGCACATTCAAACAGCATAACATACGCACACATACATGCATACATATGTATCTACATACATATATGTACATATATTCATCAAAATGTGTGTATGTATATGCAAAGTGCGATACATATGCTTACATATCATCTCTTCCCCCTTGATGAACATTTACGTATATACTATATATATCCCGATCATCCGTCCTGTCCCCTGAACGTAAATTAGGCAAACATATATGTACACATGCGATAGTATGTGCGTACATCACGTCTGATGTATCTGTATGTATTTTTACATCAATGAATTGGTCAGGCATTTAACCTAGCATAGCATAGTATGTGCATACATCATGTCATATATGTACTACACATGCGATAGTATGTGCGTACATCACGGCTGATGTATCTGTATGTATATTTACATCAATGAATTGGTCAGGCATTTAACCTAGCATAGCATAGTATGTGCATACATCATGTCCCATTTATATGTATGTATGTATGTACATCGTGCTTACCCGCAAATTAGAAAAAGCGCACACTTTCCCAACAAACCCCACCCCCCGAAAACTGAGGTAGGCTCCATTGGCTGGCTAATTATTAAATTGGCAAATCCGAATATGCTTATTTGAATACGGAAACAGAAATGTGAAGATATATGCATAGAATCGAATTGAAGCTGCACAACAATTGGCATTTGTATACATATGTACTACTTACATCCGACATCAGGCGATCGATCGTGTACATCATATGTACATACGTGCTGGCATACATACACACGCACACATATACGCACAAGCATGCTTGTGTGTATGTGTTTGTGTATGTGTATGCATGCTCGTTTGTTTGTATGTATGTGCATTAACGAAAGCCTCTATATACTTTACCCACACAGAGAAAAGTACGCATACGCACACACTCATACACACACACACACACACACACAAACAAACAATTACATACACACGTTGAAATGGTGAATTATATTTTAGTCGGGCAGACAACAGCAATAACTCACACACACACACACACACACACAATGGTCTTGGCCCCTTCCCGTAAGAAACACAAACCCGCACACGCACACGCACTTCGATTAAGTTAAAAAAAAAACACAAAAATACAAATACAAATACTAGAATAAAACAAAGTATATATCCTTCAAGTGTAACGTTTATTAGCGATTGCGAGGCCTTACCAATCCGAAACTCGAAACTTTAACCGAAAAAAAGAAAGCAAAAAAGTCCAAAAAGCAGCAATAAAAATAAGTACCAAATTCAGCAGCACCAGGCGCTCGAGATCACTACTAATACATACATCCGCATACCTACCACACCCACATACACACACACATACACACACATACACATATACACACACATACGCCACACACATACAACCAGCTCTAACAGCTAAAAAAAAACTAACCTCAATGATAACTAACGCTATATGTACCTATTTACTTTCCAAAATAATACTAACAGTATTTAAAAAATACCAACAAAATGATGTTAGCGATAAAGCAAAGAGTACAATTCGAAAACTTTTTTAAGCCCTAAGAGATGATCGATTCAATCAATACACAACAACAATAACAAATACAATTACAAATACAATTACAATTACAATTACAAATACAATTACAATTACAAATACATTTACAAATACAATTACAAAAGAGTTACCATTACAATTACATTAAGTAGTTTAATTACAGTAACAATTATGAATACCTAACTCATGTTAATTGTGCTTTACTCCACGTGCAAACACAGGCAAATATTCAAAGGTCTACACGAATTCAAAACAAATACAAATACATATACAAATGCAAATACATATACATATATACAAACAGTTAACAGTAAAAGGTCGAAAGCTTCACGTATATAATTGATGATAAAACGCTTTAAATTACGCTCCCCAAATATGTATATTTGTTGCTGTTCTACACACACACACACACACATACACACACACACACACACACACATACATACACACATGCGAAATGAAGACACACAGAGAAGAGCTTAGCATTTAGTTGAATTTAGTTGCGAAATTAACTAATTTTAAGTTGAATTAATTGGTGAACAACTTTTAAGCAATACTGTAAATTACTTTTTGTAAGTTAAGTTTTAAGCACACGCACACACACACACACACACACATATTGGCAACTTCGAGTCGAATAATCGCATAATCGATAACTATCGATAACTATAATTGACTATACCCTGTACCCAATGAACAAACAAGTTGCACAGCACTCACATCCAACTTGCACCATTAACTCATTCTTGGACAAATCCAAGGGTTAGTCCCCTTCCTCCCCCCCCCCCCCCCCCCCACACACACACACACACACACACGCCTACACACATGTGTGTATGTGTATGTGTGTGTGTTTGTTTCAATGAAAATTCGATACATTAAATTCACCAATGCAATTGAAATTGAGTTGTGCATCAATTAAGACAAAAAAATTGTACAAATTTTTACTTTGCATTTGTTTAAGTTGGCAAAAAAAATTCAAAATTAAATTTGCTGTGCAATTACGATAAGAGAAACATCCATTTGTTGTACTTTTATTATGACTAAGCATAAATGATTTCGCATAATTTTATATATATTTAATATTATGAAACAAATTCCCAAAATCAAAATCAAAAAAAAGAAAAATCCACACTCCCCATGCCTAAAAATATAAAAAAAAAATCCAAAAAAAAAAACAAAAACATTTCGACATCAATGTAAACAACAACTTTTTATGCACAAAATACTTAAATTAATATACATATAAAAACAAAGTTGCTAATTTGAAATTTGCAATGGCTTCGCCTTCGAAAACTGATAAACATGATGATGAGACGATGATAATGAGATGATGAAAAACGAATTTGGAAATGGTTTATTTTTAGTCCTTTATTTAAGTGACACACACACACAACCACACACAACTACACACACACACAATACATGTAAATATACACAACAAATACAAGAAACTAAACTCAACAACAGCAACAACAACAACAACAACAGCAACAACAAACCGCAGCAAGAACTATTATGGTGATGGTGTTTAACACACACACACACACACACACATACACAGATACAAATACAAAAACACAAAAAAACACGCACACAGACAAACAACAAGAAGAATATGAAAGTCTATCAACACACACACACACACACGTTTGATTTCCTCTACTCCCCCCCCCTCTCTCTCTCTCTCTCTCTCTCTCTCTCTGTATATTGCCACACACTCCGCCACACAACGGTAACGAGTACAACAACAACAACAACAATAACAACAACGAAATTACAAACAATACAATATTAATCCCAACAGTAAAAATACAAAAACAAATCGAAAACAAAACGAAAAAAAAACAAAAAATTAAATTAAAAAAAAACAAAAAGAGTATCAAACAGAGTCCAGGTTCAAATTAAAGAGAAAAGAGAGCACACATCATGTGATTGGCTGTAACTGTAACTGTGACAATGATTGACTGCAGCTCGAAGCTGAAGCAGAAATCTCTACAGTTAGCTTCGATCTGCAGCCAGGCGCAGTTTAGTTTTCGGATCTCTCAGGTCTAGTCAGATATTGAAATGTCGACGAACAATCAGAAAGGAAATTAATTTGTCCACTTGTTAAAGCCGAAATTCTTCTTCTTATTTTGCCACAATATACATATGTATATGCTACTTACATATACATATAACAACACGACTTGACCCCCAAATCTCTCATCTGATGCAAAAACAGTAAATAAATCAAAATCAAAAACAAACCAAAAAAAAGAAAAAGAAAAAGAAATGAAAAATACATTTTTTTTTGTACGTAGGACACTTACTAAATTGTAATTTACCATAAATATCAAATAAATCCAAAGTTAAATTAAAAGTTAAAACAATAGAAAAAACGTTAGAGTATGTGAGCGGCAATCTAGAATTGCAATATGCATATATATTTGAATTAAACGAACACTAAATCAAAAAATATATATTATATTTGATGAAAAAAATGCTTGCGAATTATTAATGATAATTTTTCGATAAAATCCTCAACTAAAAAAGCAAAAATATATCAAAAACTTAATAAAAAAAAAAATACCAACCACCTACAAAATTCGATAAACCAAAAACAAATTCTCAACTCGTTGTCCTTGGGCTAATGCGACGTTTTCTGACTTTCTTCCCTACTTTGTCGTCAGGTCAACTGACGACAAATGCTACAACTTCTACAACAACAAACAACAACAACAACTTCTACTCTGAACAAACAAACAACCATAACTCAACAACAATAAAAACCACAACAACAACAACTCAAACAACAACAACGCCAACGCCAACAACAACAACAACAACAACATCAACAGCCATCACAAACGCCTCTGGCATCTGTGGGCTTAATCTCTCCACATTCGCAGCCAATTGCAACAACAATATCAGCGCAGGCAGCACGGGCAGCGGCAGCGGCAGCAACGGCGGCATACTTACACCCTCGCTGCCTCAGCAACAGCAGCAGCAGCAGCAACAGCAGCAGCAGCAGCAACAACAGCAGCAGCAGCAACAGCAGCAGCAGCAACAACAGCACCAACAACAGCAGCAGCAGCAGCAACAGCACCAACAACAACAGCACCAATTGAGCAATGCAGGCAGCGGCAGTCAGTCAAGCAACGGTATACTCGGCTGCAGTCCGCCCGCTGCGAACACACCAACAACTGCGCAGCAGCAAATGTTCGCCGCGGTGATGGCCAATATGGCGGCAACGGCCAACGCATCGGCCTCGACCAGCGGCAACAGCGCCAACAACTCGCTGAACAACTCACAACTGAACACATCCGGCGGCAGCCTGAATGCCTCCAGCGGCGGCGATGATTTTCGCTGCAATCCGTGCAACAAGAATTTGAGCTCCCTGACCAGGCTCAAGCGGCACATACAGAACGTACACATGCGGCCCACCAAGGAGCCGGTGTGCAACATCTGCAAGCGGGTCTACAGCTCCCTGAACAGTTTGCGCAACCACAAGAGCATATACCATCGCAATCTGAAGCAGCCGAAGCAGGAGCCGACCACCGGTCAACAGGCCGCCAGCACCTATTACCATCAGCAGCTGAACCATCACTCCTCCTCATAGAATTTCATGTACTTTGACTATCATCACCAGGCCAATGTGAACTTTTGAAGCTGCAGCTAAAATGTTGGGTGTTCAACAAACGGCAACCGCAACTGCAACCGAAACTGCAACTGCAACTGCAACTGCAACTGCATTCGCTCCTCTGGCTACGGGCTATATTCGCATAGTAAATACAGATTAGAGGAAACCTTTGTTAAGTTTGTCAATTATATGAAAATGGGCGATACACATTTGCAAATACGAGTAACTGTAATCTTAATCAAATTAAAGCAACATATATACTTGCATAGATACATATGTACAACACACGCACACGCACACGCACACACGATCATACACACACACACACACACATATATACATTTACATTTACATTATACAACACACAAGTATACAAAATGGAGAGAATTACGACAACGGCGCTTCTGTATGTATGTACATATTTGGGATATTTACAGTCGCCTGCAAAGCTATACATAAAGTAGACTTGGCTTGACTCTCCACTCTGCACTCTACTTCTTCCAGAGCCCAACTCTAGACTTGCAATGTTAGTGTTGCTTTAAATGGCGTGGAGTTCAGTTAAGATTTCGGCATTTCGCTGCGAAAAATCAATCCAAAGTCAACTTTATGCAGCTTTGCTGGCAACTCTGAATACCCCAAATACACGGTTATATATGCAGAGCAAAATAATTACATTCTAGGCTAGTAACACTTAGTTGCCTTTTGTAGTTGTAAGCAAATCAATTATAACTTAATCAGAATCAGTAGCAGTAACAGTAACAGTAACAGTAACAGTAACAGAAAGAGATCTAGACATAGAAACACACAATTTGTGCTGGTAAGCGGGAGGTGCTCTAAGCTATGCTCCAGTTATCGTTCTACATAAGTATATGTATGTGCATTTGTCTCTGTTTACACTCACGTACATAAGTATATATACACGCACACGCATATTAGTAGCACGTGGGGGCAATTTTCGCTCTTGAGAAGTGGTATAAAATGTTATTGAAATCTTCTCATTTTCCAATCATTTTTTTTCATATTAATAATCTAAACATAGAGTAGAGTTGAAAAAAAAAGAAGAGAAATGATAAATTACAAAAAGGTGCCGGTAGTGAATTCTTCAAATGGCTTTAATAAAATACAATTTAAATAAAATACAGCTAAGTAAATATATATAGACTTAGAGGTAAGCCTAGGCACAAATCGAATCAGTTGTGCAAATCGTAGCCTTTAAAGCTTTTTATACACAAATTCGTTTTTTTTTTTAATACCACATAAAGAAGAATGAGAATAAGTTGAAAATGAAAGAAAGCGACCGACCGAACGACCGACCAATTGCAAAGTTATGTATTTGGATGAAATGCAAAACATAAATGATAATTTAATTATGTAGGCTTAAGCTAACCAGGAGAAGTGCATACCCTATATACTATATAAACACTCTCTCTCACACACACACACACACACACACACACACATACGCACATATGATATTTTATAGACTTACAGTAAATAAGAAAAAATATACAACATAATAATTACAACTTAAAAGTTTATCATATACATTTGTTAACATCTAGGCTAATCTTGGTTTTTTTTTTTTAAATATATATATAGAGTATATCTTTTTTTTTTGGTATTTTTTAAGAGAGATGATAAAAAACAATTGTAGATATATATAGACATGGAAAATGTTAACCGGATACTTTATGAGTGCACCTGTGTTCGTTAGTTTATAGTTTTAAGCAAGAGCAATGCCTAAAGCAATTAAGTACATTCACACATCCACATTAATCACACATATATGGTATATATCTATATATCTATATATCTATTCGATATATGTATGAATGTAAGAAAGCAATTGCAGTATGGGAGTTCTTTGATTATAACACTGTAATAATAAAAACCTACACATAAAACGCATATATTTCATTTAACCAGCTCGATGCCAATAAGAATCGAGTATGCGCTATATACATATATAGTATTTGTATATTTGTATATTTGATCAGTTCAAAATGTCAGGTAGCCGGTCAATGAAGCATTCAATCAATCAATCAGTCAATCAATTAATCTATCCAAGAATCCATCACTATGCCATTAAATGGCAATCAATCAGCATCAATCATTACATACACTCACACACTCACACACTCACACACCCACCACACACACACACGCACACACATTGTATCTCTCTCTCTCTCTCTCTCTCTCTCATTATCTATGTATATCTCTAACATGCCGGACAATATATAAAAATTTATTTTAGAGCGAAAGCCTGTCGATTCTAATTGTGTTAGTTTTGTCACACAGAAAATAGATTTGTGTGGCAAAATGAAAGTTTGTGTGTTCAGATTGGGTCGAAGAAGCTGCGATAATAAAACACATTCACCTACTTACTTGAAAATATAACATAACATAAACATTGTGAAAGCAAGCGCACATTAGAGATGTGAAGAGAGTCATTTGTTTTACTTAACATAAGTATGCCCCCCCCCCCCCCCCCACTCCCCCTGTTTCGACCAACAATTACTAATACGTATAATACCACAAAAAAAGAAAAAAACCAACCGAAGAACGCAACTCCTAATCACACATCCATTGCTCCAAGTCCCCGCATCTAGTATCCAATAACTGGTAACCAGCTAACCTAAGGTGTGTTCCTGTGCCCCCGATCCTGTCACCACCACAACCGAACAGCTGTTACCTGCCAAATGTTAAGTATCAATCCAAATGTCTTTCACATGCACACACACACACACACACACACACTCACACACACCTGCACACCTGCACAAACCTTTTTATTAAGTCCAACCCGGTCCAACCGATATATACAACATATATATTTGTCTAATGTTTACCTACTATAAAAAGCCCAACCTGACCTCCCCCTACCATAACCGCCCCCAACCCCCCCGCAAAGAGCACATTTGAAAAATCGGTATATTTGGTTGATTTTGAACCAAAACCAAATTGAACCAACCGCATCACAAAGGCAAAGGTGCTGCGTTTGAGTTTGAAAAAAAAGAGACACTAGTGACAACAGAAAATAGTCGAGATAATCACAAAAATAACAATCACAAAAAAATTATAATAAAAAAATATAACAAAAAAAAAAAAACGAAAATATTACTAAAAAAACATTTTATATACTACAAATCAATCAGGCCAAACATGTTTCAAAATTTTGCTAAAACAAAACGATAAATTGGTTTTAAAACTATACAAGAAATTTCCAAAAAAAAAACAAAATATATTTCACAAAAAAAAAATAAAAAAACAGACACAGCCATTGGTACAGATATTCAAGATTTGCCGAGGAACGAAGCGAAGATACAAAATATCTTTTGTACGAATTTTTTTGGTGAGTTCTGATTAACTCACCTGGTTGCAGCCTTGTGGCATGCCACAACTGCGAAAGAAAATGGTAAAAATCAAAAAAAAAAAATTCCAAAAAAAAAAAGATGAAGCAAAAATAACAACATTTCGCATCGCAACCAAAATTTTACTTAAAACTGCACAAAATTTGTCCAAATTTTGGACAAAACTTGTGCAGCTTCCACGAGAGCCGCAAATACAAATTTCAACTTAACATGCAACAAAAAAAAAATAAAAAAAAAAAAAAAACCGAAACAGAACAGTTTTTATTAATATTTTATTTACATACATGTTTTTGCGAAAGGCGACACTGAGAAAAAAAAAATTCGAAAAATTTGTTTGCAAAATTTGCCAAAATAATGAAATTTTAACCACATTGATGATGATGATGATTTTTATTAAATTAAATTCAAATGAAACAGAGACAGAAGCGAAATTCAAAATGAAACATATATAATCACATATATATATTCCAAATATTAGCAAAAATCAGCAAAATTACAATTGTTTTGAGCCTGGATTTGTTAGTGTAATATTATGTAAAGTAAATAATACAAAAAATACGAATACGAAAACGAATACCAAAAACACATCACAAAAACAGAACACACTGACCACCACTAAAAAAAGTTAACAGAACAACAACAGAACACAAGACAACAAACGCACACAGACATCGAAACACACACACACACACACACACACACACACCTGACGTGCTGCGTGCATGCATGCATGCATGTGTGTGCGTGTGCGTGTGTGCGTGTGTGTGTGCGAACCACGAACTAACAGACAAGCAAGATATACAGATGCAAACATACAAATCAAACAACAGCAACAACAACAGCAACAACAACAGCAACAGCAACAACAACAGAAACCAAGTCAAATATACAGAAAAGTCACTATTGTCTCTTTTTTTCTTCTCTTCCTATATGACGTATAGGTGGCAGCACCAGCCTACTCGGCGGCGTCATAGTGCCCGGTGGTAGTGACAACCCTAGTAATAGTAGTAGCAACAGCCAACAACAACAACAACAACAAGTAGAACAACAGCCAACATCACAACACCAACTCCAACTCCAACTCCAACATCATTCCACACAACATAACCCACAACAACAACAACAACAACAACAACAACAACTGCAACTGCACCAAGAACGAGAACGCGAACGTGAACGTGAACGAGAACGTGAGAGAGAAAGAGAAAGAGAGAGAGAGCGAGAACGTGGCAACAGCGAGCGCAGCAGCCTGTCCCGCTCCTCGCAGTGCGCCGCCGGCGTCGACGCGACGCCGTCGCCGTCGCCGACAGCAAACGCGAGCGCCGCTTACCACAAGCGCGAAAGGGAGAGGGAGAGAGAGAGGGAGCGGGAGAGGGAACGGGAGCGTGAGCGTGAGCTGGAAGGAGCACAGATAACGCCGGGGACAACACCACCGCCGCCGCATCATAATCTATCGGCGCCGTCGCCGCATTTTGGCCAGCATCCGCTGTCGATGCTCTCGAGCCACCATCATCAGCAGCTGCATTCGCATCACGATCTGTCGCCGGGGGCTGCGGCACACGCGGCGGTTGCCGCTGCCCATCATGCGCATGCGATGGCGGCACGTGCCGGCTCGCCGCTGGAGCGCCACCATTTGCTGCATCAGCATCATAGACGCGCCTCCCTTTCGCCCTCCGCCGCGGTTAGCAGCGGCGCCGGCAATCCGCTGAACTCGGCCAGGGCCAATGATGTTGCCCAGGCGGCGAATCGTCTGCTGTTGCCCCTACCCCTAAATGCGTGCCATCGTTGCGATGTGTGCGGCAAGCTGCTCAGCACAAAGCTGACGCTGAAGCGGCACAAGGAGCAACAGCATCTGCAGCCGCTCAACAATGCCGTCTGCAATCTGTGCCACAAGGTCTTTCGCACTCTGAACTCTTTAAATAATCACAAGAGCATCTATCATCGCCGGCAAAAGAATCATCATTCGTATTTCCATCATGGCGCCGGAGTGGGACAGGCTGGCGGCAGCCCGGGCAGCCGGCTGCATCAGTCGCTTAGCTCGGGGGGAGGCGGGGCGGGGGGTAATGCTGTGGCCGCAGCAGCAGCTGCCGCTGCGGCCGCTGCTGAGCTGCTACTGTCGCCCATTGTTGGCGCCGCAGCCGTCGCCGGCGGCACGGCCAGCTCTACGCTGCAGCTGGCAGCGGCGCATCAGCAGCAGCAGCAGCAGCATCACCAGCACCAGCAGCAGCACCAGCAGCAGCAGCAGCAGCAGTCGTCGTCGCCGAACATGGTCAAGCCGTGCATTGACTTCTTATAAGATCAGCATCAACTCTTGCAGCAGCTGTTCCATGTTGCGCTCAACAACTCAGCAGCAGCAGCAGCAGCGGCAGCGGCGGCGGCGGCGGCGTCGTCACCTTCAGGTGGCCCCAACAACAACGACTACGGTGGGCAGGTGGGCGGCGGGGCCACGCCAACATCGATCGATCTCACGCAAATTGATCAGGGCAGCGGCGGCGGCGGCAGCGGCAGCGGCGGCGGCGGCGTCTATGCGGCGGCAGCGGCAGCGGCGGGAGCACTTCATCTACATCAGCAGCAGCAGCATCACGGCGGGCATCTGTCGCATTTAACGGCGCATGCCCATGGACATGCACATCCACACCCGCACACCCACCCCCACCCCCACCCACACAGCCACGCCCACCCGCACAGCCACGCCCATCATCATCGCTATGAACGAATGAATTTATTAGACCAATAAGCGGATCGCTGAAATGTATGCTCCGACCAGTGTTGCCAAATGCCACTTTAAAAACAAAGAGTAGCTAAATCCCATATTTTAAATAGCTAAAAATAACCATTGAGATGCGAACAAAATAGCTAAATCAGTTGAATATAGCTAGACATAGCTAGATGAATTGGCAACACTGAGACAGACACACGCACACGCACACACACGCACACACACACACCCACACAGGAAGCTATGCAGCGATCGAACCGAACCGAACCGAATCGAACACACACACACACACTCACACACGCAACGGAGGAATGATCAGCAGAGCGGAGGAGGATTAACTGTGCGCAGCGAGCGGGCTAAGCTATAACTAAATACATATATATTATATATAAATACACACACATACATGCACACTTGTATGCACTTTGGATCTCAACCTGGCGAAAACTGAAATGGACTGTTTTTGGCACACAACTGAACACACACAAAAAGTTGACTAAAATGAAGATACATATAACATGTTTAGGCAAATGAATGGAAAAACTGTGATTTTTTACAACAAACAACAAACAAAAAATGAAAAATGAAAAATGAAAAACGAAAAAAAACAACAAATTTTATCGAATTGCAAACCTTTAACGCGCATATATTTGAGCAGGTGTTTTTTTTTTGTTTTTTTTTTCTAACGAAATGCAATAGAGTTTATGGGACACTGCAACAAGGAAAGGCCCGTATAAAATTTTGACCCAACCGAGCGAAGCAACGTAAAGCAAAGCATAAAAGACTGTCACACACACACACGCACGCACACACACATACTACACTCATCTATAACAATAATATATACCTCTTGAGTATTACCCATTGTAAGCCGACAAACAGACAGACAGACAGACAAACAGACAGGCAAATCGGAGTTCGAAGGAGTTCTTAATGCAAGGCATCTATTTTGACCTTTTTTTTACTGAATTAACCGATTACCCATTGATCGACCACACATAAACCCAATCATCTATATAGCATCGAGACATCGACAGCACGGAATCATCTGGATATATTAACTGATTTAACTGGAGTAGAGAATAGTGTGCCATATACGATGCAGTCCTTGTATTCCTAGCTAGCACATAAATGTAACTACTCATCGTACATACACAAAACACTTTACAACACTCTACTTACTTTAACACTTTCCGTTTGACAATACTGCTAGTTGGCCGGCCGGCAAGCGCAACTCATGCAACATGCAACTCATGCAACATGCAACTCATGCAACTCATGCAACATGCAACATAACCTAACATTCAATGTACAACTACCCATGCGTATGCTCGTG